AACTGGAAAAAGAGCTGTCATTCTGGGATTACATCACCTTCCTTATTATTTCAAGAAGCTAATCAAAATCTAAATCTGAAAAACACCCAATCTCAAAAACAATTGTCAATTTGGAGATTTGAATCGCGAGTCATAACCAAAATATATTGGTGTTCAAATAGGGAAACTCTGATTCTTTGTATTTTCTCGTTCCCCTTTAGATCTTGGGGGAAAAATCTGGTGGGGGGGTTTGTGGTGTTGTGATGGAAGAACCTGGAAAAGAATTGACGAAATCTTTTTAGAAAATAAAAAAATGAAAAATGAAAAATCTGCACAAATAGTTTCCAGATGACGCTTTAGATACAACATTTTAACTCTTCACTCGCCTCTTATGCATGTAAATCACAAGTGTAAAAGTAGTGTGTATTAGATACACTCTGGAAAGGTTGAGTGTGTAAGGTGATTTTTGTTCCCAAAAGGTGTGTCACAGGGATTTGGTCCATAGTTCTGGGGGTAAACTATGTATTCTGCCTACTAATTTTTGTTCATACAAGTTACATGGTATCTCTTACAAACTTCATAAATCCATTAAGGTCCGGAGGAATTTCCATTGTTGGTGGCGGAAAAGAAGCTTGGTCATCACCGCTTCCGGGCGAAGTAGAATCCTTCGCAAGTTCAGCTAACATTTCTTCGGAAGCTTCGCCTACCTCTGGTTGTGATTCAGCAAGTCCAAAATTTATTCTTTCCGAGGATCCAATCTCTGAAAAGTACTGATTTGACCACTAGATTCGCCACTTTTGGATTTTCTCTTATTTTTACCAATTCTTTTTAAGGAAGCCATCGTAATTAATCAAGTAATAGAAAATAAATAAAACAAATAAAACTATAATATTAAAAATTATGAGTTGGAACGAGTTTATCGAATTGATGAACAACTTGTTAAAAATTGATTATCGTTGAAGACTTGAATTCACCAACTTCACAATTTTTTCACAAATTGTAACACTAAAGTAAGCAATAGTAGGAATTATAGAAGAAAAATGGAGAGAGATTGAGAGAGATTGATGATTTTGTGAGAAAAATGAAAGAATGAATGGGTATTTATAGTTGAAAATAGGGAAAAGTGTAATTATAAAAAGATTGGGGTTAGAACAAAGTTGGGAGGATTAAATGGCTATTTTGACAGCCCAAACGGCTACTTTTTAAATGCCCAAACGGGCATTTTTTTTAAAAAAAAATCTGATCGTTTGGGACCGCTTAGGCCCGCCAAGGACAGGTCCGGTCCCGGTTTTGCGGTCCCAAAGTGAAGAACCAGCCCAGAAGAGCGGCCTACCTCCACGGTCCCGGGCTTATCCGGTTAAGGACCGCTTAGGCCTAGAAGCCCACATGGGCTGCAGTCCCGGGCCTGGACCGGCCCACTTGCCAGCCTTATTCTTAAGAGGTGTATTAAACTCCTTTTGAAATTAAACAAATACAGAGGTGGATGTAGCTAACAGGTTATAAACTCAGTAACTTCAATATGTAGCTTATATGTATATAAGATCACTAAAATTTAATAAATATTATATTTGACCCCAAAATTTTAAATGTGCAATAAATTAACGATAAAAAATTAAGATTTAACTCATCAAATTAGAAGTTTGGATTCGTTTCTGAAAAAGCATATACTCCTATATAATATGAATAAGAGAGATGAATAAGTTGTTATTTCTGCAGTTGCGCAGATCCCAAAACCCAGAATATACGGGAGGAAGAACTGATAATCGTGTTATTCATCAGAATGGATAACACTTAGAGAGTTGGGTGGGGAAAAATAGCTTCCACGATTACAGTATATTAAGGCGGAAGAAAAATAAGAAAAGAGAATAGGAGGAAAAAAGAAAGAAAAATGGTGTAACTAAATCCCTTGATTGAAGGCACTAATAATGGATTGGGAGTCTTCTAAGGTGGAATGCATATATTTTATAGATAAAACTTATTTAGGTCGGGTAATTAACTAAACGTGGACATTTATGATAATAAAGTTTCAAATAGTGTATAGGAACGAAAAAAGCCCTTTGAATGACCTTAAAACGCTAAGAAGAATTAAACAAAACAGCCGTCCACCTAATCGCTTAAATTAAAAATAGCCAGTGAAAGCATAATATATGCATAATTTATGTATTATACGTGTATAATTATGTATAATTAATATATATACTATGTATATATTTAGAAAAAGTAAATAATGAATATGACCGGCTATTTGTGTAAAGATCCTGAACCCCATACAAGTGGCCCATGAGCTAGCATATGTACATGATAGTTGGGACTTGGGAGGAGTACTTTGAATGAGCTTAAATTTGTGAATGTTACTAGTTTCTACTTTTAATTTGCGCTTTAACAAAATGATTGTGACAGAGCAATTGCAAATATGTCAAAATTAGACAGTCACATACATATATATTGAACAAAATTATTTTGCCTGACATGTTAGTAGGTGTTTGATATTGTATTGATTGTTAAATTTATACTTCACGTATTAATAATTACCCATAATCAAGTGATTTACGCAAGAGAAATGGCGATATATATGTATTTATTCGTTTGGTACATGCACTCTTTGCATACATCTTCTTGGTAAATACTTACCCACCCCGGGTGTTTACGCCAAACCAATAGATATATGACATGTGTCTTGCATATGGACTTCAATCATTTAACCAGAAAATTACATGCATCCTCATCTATTTATTGGTGTCATATATCTATTGGTTTGGTGTAAACACCCCGTGCGGGTAAGTATTTACCCACATTCTTCTCCTCTCAACTGCTGCCTACCAACATATTGAGCTGGTAGTTTGGCACAGTTTTAATAAATCCAAATCAATTGTCACATTTTCGTGTTAAATAAACTTGTTGCATTCGTGCCTATAAAACTGTGCAGAAATCAGGGAACTGCAATAATTTTATGCAACAATTGCATCGAATTTCACATGACAAAGACGGTAGAGATGTTTGAAAGTTTGGTGGTTATTGGATCAGCGTGTCTTTTTGTTTGTGGATAAGCAATTTGTAAATCCCAGATTTTTTTTTTTTAAAAAAGAAAAATTAGTCCAGTACAGAAAGTATTCTTCATTGGCTCAAGGAAAAATTACACCTCTAAATATATAATATGCCAAAGGGCCAAATATACCTCTATATTATGGGAAAATATTTAAATATACCTTTCGTTATACTTTAGATCCAAATATACCGATGCCGTAATACTATAGGTTTAAATATGCCCTTCTTCTGTTAAGTTTGTCCAAGGTGAACGTCCAATCCTACGTGTCACTAATATTTGATGAGGTGGATGCCACATGGCATGCCGCCTCAGCAGCTCCAATCCATATATAAAAGATTAAAATTTGAAATATAATATTATTCATGGTAGCGGTAAAGGTGGCAATAGTGGTGGAGGGGAATAAAATTTTAGTGGTGGAAAAAAATAGAAAGGAGGGGTAAAATGGGTTTTGGACATTGAGGTGGTAAGCCATGTGGCATCTCCCTGTGCCCGTAGGATTGGATGTTGAATTGGATGTTCACTTTGGACAAATTTAGCAAAAGAGAGGTATATTTGAACCAATAATATAACGACAGAGGTATATTTGAACTCAAAGTATTACAAGGAGTACATTTAAACTTTTTCTAATATTATAAGAGTATATTTGGCCATTTCCGAATATAATATAGAGCGTACCCTAATAAAAACACTCAAATGCTGTTCCATAGAGAAAAGGAAGAAAAATGCCAAATTATTCTTGGCACATAGTTCCAAATAGGTTAAGCACAATTGATTGAAGTTGAAGGGGGAATAGATGAGATTGAGATTGTACAAAGATGACGTGGAATAACAAGAACCATTTATAGTTGTCTGGTAGAATAAGTAGGTTCGTGGCTCTTAGAGTTGCCAAAGGAAAAAGCCAATTATAATCTGAGGTTATTGTTATGTCCCTTTGTGTGATTAGTCGTTGTTATTCAATAATAATACATTTTGAAATGATAGAAATCCTTTACTCTTAGGTAGAGAAATTTGTATTAATTTCTGATTCGAGTTCTGAAAATAAAAAATCTCTTAATGCAAAATAATTCCTCAGTCTATCCAACGTGAATTTGAATTTATTTGATTAATGAACTTTGAATATCACATGATTATAATAAATAGCACGGGCTAGTCAGTTTTCGAACTGGTTATTCAAAAATAGGTAATATTTGCCATCATCGAAAAATAGTCACTATTTTGCTGCAACACGGAAAGTTCGAGCATAATATATTGGAGATCGGTGCACCTGTGTATGAACTTCCAGCATATTATGCTGGAACTCCAACACGCGGAAAGTTTCAATATAATATACTGGAGAGCATCGGTGCTCCAATCTCCAGTATATTATGCTGGACCGGTATATTATACTGATACTCCAGTATATTATGCTGGAACTTCACTTTAATATACTGAAATTATACTGGAGTTCCAGTATAGTATACTGGAGCATTTTTTCGAATTTTGAACAGTGTTTTCGTTCAGATTTATCTTTACATGAAAAGTGACTAAATTTCGATTATTTTTGAAATTGAAAATATATTTGAATGACCACTTGTAAATCTGGCTATTTTTGAATTTATTCCGGTAATGATCTAACCTTATACTTAAAGCGAGCCGAGCCGGGCTCATGAGTCAGCTTGACATCGTTCCATGGTCTTAGGATTATGTGGAGATATTTCTGTTCAAATTTACTGACAAAGGTTAGCAGTCTGTAGAAGATATTTTGTGCATGTGATGTGGTCTCTACAATTAGGCACGAGTAAGATGACATGTCATGGATTACCTAAAATCTAAACACTATTCATTTCAAAAGATTATTCTATTCTACCTATCCATCCTACGCATCATTTAATTTCTTAGTTAAAATTTAAACAAAGAAAGCCACTTAAGCAATCAAAAAAAAAAGTGGTCAATAATAATTTCTTATAAACCTAAAGAATTCAGTATAGTAGAAACAAAACAAAATTATGAGGGAGAAAAAGTGCAGACAAAATGGACCCCAACGTACACTTGAGAGTCTGAGACCATATGTTCACATGGCTTTTAACATGAGAACAATAATTGGCTTTAATATTCTTTTTCCTTTTCACTTTTTTCTCTGATCTTTTGTTCATTAGTTTCTGCTTTTCTCCTTCAGCTAGGAAACATATATACTACGAATTATGAATCCATGCACTATGTTCTAGTCTCTTCAAATTCTGTCCTTACTGCTGGTGAGTTCATTTTTTAAGTGGTGTAGCTCAAGCTTCTGTCTTTTGACTCTCCTTTCATAATTATTTCCAAAGATGGTTTCTTTAGATGGATTTTTCTTGGTTTCTTTTGATGTTCTTGTTTTAGAGCTTGAATCATGGTTAATTCTTGAACTTTGTAGCAATTTAAATTTTCTGTTGTTGCATTTTGAAACTGTTTTAGCTGACAATTTCTTGTGGTTGTTTGTATGTATGTTTTCTCTAAAGAATATTTTGGGTGTTTAGATTTGGTCAACCTAGAGATGTATTGATCAAAATTGGATCTTTAGAAGTTGAGGTGATAATTTGTTCAATATGCAATTGGTCAGATTTGATGCCTCTATTTTTCTATTGATAGTTGTGTCAGTAAAATTAGAACTTCTAGTACTTTTTATTTTTGTATAATATTGGTCTGATAGAGCTTAAATGGAGCGACATGATCAGTGAGGATTCATATAGTTAACACCTACTTCCTTGGGAATGAGGCATAGTTGTTGACGTCGTTGTTACTTTTGTTGTTGTAGTATAATTGTCTTTCCATTGGAATTGAGTGTTAACACTATAATATTTTTTTTTTTTTTTTTGGGTAAGCACTATAAACTTCACTAGCATCCTACTAACAACAGTGAAAAGCATTATGTGCTTAGTATTTTCTGACCTAGGGCTGTTTTAATTCTCTTTCCTAGGTAAAGGAGACAACCTCTTGATGAAAGACTGAAGGGAAACTAATATTCTAGTAAGATTTAGAGCCAATTCACGATGTCCGATCGTGTTACACAATCGTATTCGGATTGTGATGGAAGAGCTGGGAAGTCTATGCATTCAGTTCAATCTGTTTGGATGGCGCATTGGACCAGAACAAGCTACAATGCTACGGCAGAAACACACAATCACGCGCCTAGTGCTAGCACAAACAAGGAAAATGATCGATATTCTAAGCCTTCCCAGTCAATTGTTAAACTGGAGACAGTGTCTAGGCTTTCTAAGTCCATCAAAAGATTAAGAGAATCTGAAACTCAAGCATTTGAAGTCGTTAACGAGACCCTCAGAACAAGTTCAAGAACCATTGCAAATGAAACTGTATGCTGTCGCAGCATTGTTGCATCGAAGCCTTTGCCTGATAATCCTATCCAGTATATAACTAGAGAAGGAGAAAAGACACGGAATCCATTCATAAGATCATTTCTAGCTGCAAAAGATGAAGTGCCAAGATTGGGAATGTTAGAGCCTGAACATTATAATTATCACAATAATTCAGCATCTTTGGTCTGTGAAGAGAAACTGAATGATCAACAAAAGTTACCACATCCTTTGCATGATATAGAGACAATGAGAATAAGCAATACTATGGAGCCTGTAACGGGACTAGCTGGATATTATCCCCGCATTTCTCAGACAACTCATAGTTTGTTAATCACAAAAAGAACAGATGCTAATCTGTTGGAAGGAAACAAAGTCGTTCGGAATTCTAGGATATGGAGTGAATTCAATGGGAAGAATGTAACGTTAAGTGATAATGATAGCCCATCTAAATCTTTTGGTCATTATAAGGGAGGAATGAAGCTTCAACTTTTAGACTGCTCCAAAGGCAGTGAAGGAAGAGAAAATATTGAAGACAGTAAACGTTCTAAAGTTGTGCTAAAGAATGAATCTTCAGCTGAAACTGATACTATGGACATGGATGTGTTTCAGCTGAAGAACCAGCTTTGTGGTATGTATTGTCTTTAGATCTTGAATTCTTGGTTAAAGCTACCTTGCATATCACTTCACTTATTTAAGTGGCTTAAATCTTCTTTACATTTTATTTCAATCATCATCTTGCTAAGGTGTTAACTGATCAACGATTTCTAATGCTTACTCGGAGTGATAGTTATCCTAAAAGAAAAAAAAGAGGCTTATAGCCTGTTTGGCCAAGCTTCTCCAAGCAAAAAACACGCTTTTTTACAAAGTTAAAGTGTTTGGCCAAGCTTTTTAAGGAAAAAAAGTGCTTTTGAGGAGAAGCAGAAATAGTTTTGGAGAAGCGGAAAAAAGTAGCTTCTCTCCAAAAGTACTTTTTTGAAAAACACTTACGAGAAAAGAAGTTTTTAAAAGCTTGGTCAAACACTACTTGCTTCTCAGAAGTGCTTTTCAAATAAATTCGCCAAACACAAACTGCTTCTCATCAGAAGTACTTTTCAAAAAAGCACATTTGAGTAAAGCACTTCTCGAAATAAGCTGATCTTTACAGCTTGGCCAGACATGCTATTAACCCGAGAGATACTGTTTAAATGTATGCATATTTTTACTCGTTTAATGAATCTGTCTTTCCTCTGAATGTTGCAGGTCCGAGTTCTTCCATAGTAAAGAAGGTAATCAAGAAGTTTCTTTAAATCTTCATAACTTCCCATCTTTTAACCAGGTTTTGAAGAGTGCATTTGCTTTATTGTTAGGTTCATAGTGATAACTGCTGTTGTATTTCTCTTCCTACCAGCTAGTTGCCAAGTATAATGTGAAAATTCAGGGAAATCAAGTAATAAAGTTAGTTCCAGACAACCGGTCATTGTATGATAAGTTTAAAACCAAACAAGTTCTTCAGTAAATAAGAAATGTTCTTGCTTGTGTTGCCGGTCTCAACCCCCTAAAAAAGTCAGAAACTGAGCAAATTTTCTGTAATCTTATAAGTGTATCTTGCACTTATAATATTACTGATGAGCACATATTTGCTTGTTTGACCTATAATCTAGAATCTTGATTCTAATAGCACGTTTGAGGGTTAAGTCTCTAGAGCAAGAAGCAGTATACCTCAATTTTGACCATTTGATATACCCTTGCAGGTGAATAAAATGGACCAAATTTCACCTCCTCGGTCTGCAACTGATTGCTCCAGGAAAGAAGCTGGACGCAAACGGTTCTACTTGGATATAAACTTGGAGCTGCCTGCTCCAACTGATAATGCGGAGCTAAGTTCTTCCAGAACTGAAAGTTTGGACTTGGATTTAATACTCGCCCATGCTGAACGGCCCACTTCATCAAGTACTGATTTCTGTCCTGAAGGGCTTTTTGGACAGGACCCTAGTAGTAGATGGGTTAAACGCCTGAAAGTGGGCGCTGGTTCTTTGGCTTTTGGTACTAAAAGCTCCAGCTTAATAGGGGAGTCATCGCATGAGAAAGCACACAAGTTCCTTAGCAAAATGACTAAAGCAACCATGACTAGCTCCCAACCAACATCTAGTAAACTTCACGGTAAAGAATTGATGGCTCACGAAAACTCTAGTCCCTCTTCTATGAACAGTATCAAGAAAGATCTGGAGTTTTTGACTTCACACTCTTGGATTCAAAGGTTGCTTCGTGATAGGGCTACCGCTGCACAAAAGAGTCGGGCCCAACCAGTGGTGGTTTGTGAGCCTCAAAGCTCAAAGTTGGAGATTGATGATTTCCAGAAGAAGCAGCTTCCGAGTCTTGGCGCCATGGCTCTCATGGGAAAGGCAATGAATGGTTTTCAGCCATGTGAATTTAACAGAAGAGGCCCTTTAGTTGTTTGGAACACCGGGAGTTTCTGAAAACTACCTAGTAGAAACAGATACCAGAGAGCTCTGGCGTTCATGTGCTCGAGTGACCAGGTGCATTTTGGAGCTTCAAGTAAATAGTTGGTGCTAGTAAGTACTTTGTCGTTTTTATTTTTATTTGGCTTCTGTAATTGCTTAGAAGGTGTTACTTTATATTCAAAATAATGATGAAAGCACCAGACATCTTGTTTCTTGAACAGGATACTCGCCTGGCTGCTTTCATCTGCATGTATACAAACTAGATACTGCAGTAATTACATGCCAAAGAGGTTTGGAGTTTTCTGTTATCGTGATTGGATTATGTGCAATCTTGATTGTTGTGGCTGAAACCGAGTTCTTGGGACAGTTGAACTACGCCAACTTTACTTTCCGGAGAACGCCAGTGGCTGACAGCTTGACTAGTGCTCCTCTATTCAGCTCGGACAGAGTATTTTGAGATTGAGGATTAACCTATAGGAAGCATAATCTGTTTGAGAAGTTTTTTTTCTCTTCCATATCCCTCTCTTATACTCCCTCCGTTCCAATTTATGTGAACCTGTCTGACTGGACACGGAGTTTAAGAAAAAATGAAGACTTTTGGAATTTGTGGTCCTAAACAAGTCAAAAAGGAGCCCAGAGTATTTGGGTGGTTATAAAAGCTTCTCATTAAGGGTAGAATTGTAAGTTTAAGCTAAATTGTTACCAAATTTAGAAAATGGTCATTCTTTTTTAAACGGACCAAAAAGTAAATAGGTTCACATAAACTGGAACAGAGGGAGCAATTGATTATGACTCTTGTTAAAGATTTGACTTTTCCTTTGTTTCCTTTTTCACCTGGTTTTGCAATGCCATGTATATCCAACTCAAATATTGCAGAAATTTGGTTGTTCAAGATTGCCAGTTCTCTTTTTGCATTTCTTACATGCTGACAGTAACTTGTGTTTTCTATCCTCATCTGATGCTAGATTGTAGTTTTTAAAACCAACATAAATTCTTGAATCTGTATTTCACACAGTCCAGGGGATAAGGAAAACATTATTGGTAAATGACCCCTGGTAATTTGGCTTTTGGAATTCGGAACAAATCCTAATTACATCACAATGGTCAACAAATATACTATGAGTCTATGATACTACACTGTCATTTTGGCTCAGAAGTACAATTTCAAGAAATGGCAAAACTATTCACTCTAGTAAATGCATCACTAGTAGTTCACATTTTGAAAGACCAGAATAAATCCTAATTACATTACAATGTCAACAGATATACTCGTGCAATACAAAGATAAATAAGGTATATCATGGCACAATTATTACAAGATTATCAATTAATATCTAAAGATTACAGTAAGCTTTCCATTACTTAAGTTCATTCACATTTGTTCTTTGAATGATTATGCGATAGAGCATCCATCACATTTTTTCTGCTACTCAATGTAGAAGTACATAAACTTTAAAGATGGGGCAAGTACAAATAGTTCCAAATGCTTAGAGAATAGGTACACGATAAGAGATACATCGTAAGATATTCTTTTAACGTAGAGTTTTTTACAGTAGTAGAAGTTTAGGTTGAGTAATAACCATTATACTTCAGAATACTACACCTATAACAGTGATCTTACATATATTTGACTCTTACAACATGAACTAGGCATCTAGAGGTGCAGGTTCAGTTTTATTTTAGACGAGTGCCTCGATTATACTTCCTCTTTTTACATGAGCACAGAAATCTTCCTTCACTGAGTCAGCTGCTGAATTTGGTTGGTTGTGTTGGGAGATAGGTCACCCTTGTTCTTCTTCAGGTCCAGATTTTGATTTCCATGAATCTCTAGTATACCAACAAGAGATGCTTCTCATATTCATATGACAGTTCCATCTTTAATTGTAGCTTTCTCTGCTACAATTGTTAATCCTGCCCTTATGTAGAATCCTTCCTCCGGTCTATCTGCTTCTTGAACACCCTGAGTTCGAAAGTAAACAACAGCAGTGAGAGTGTAACTCTAAAAATATCGCTCAATCAATCAATTATGCCTCAATACACCAAAGGCCTCAGGGATATAAGTCCTTTATATGTTCCGCTCTGTAACTCCAATATTCTATCCCTCCGGGGTAGGGGTAAGGTCTGCGTACACTCTACCCTCCCCAGACCCTACTTGTGGGATTTTACTGGGTTGTTGTTGCTCTTTCTGTAACTCCAATATATCTTTAATAATTGAAATTTGATAATTAAGACGCATATTAGCTATGTAGCTCGGGCTCGGGTACATATCCGGTACGGTTACATGGAAGAATCAGATACGGCTACATCAAACCTTTTTGCTAATTTTAAGTGTATTTTGAAGAATCTGAGCTAAGTACCCCCACCCTTATCGCGTATGTTGGACAAATGAAGGATCCGCACAACATAGTATAAAAGAAGGTCCACGGTAAATGGGAAAAAGCTTACATCTTTATTCATGATCACAACATCCTTTCCTATCTTTGCATTCTTGTCAATGATACAATTCCTGTATGAAGAAAACCACGATCAAATTGTAAGAACTTTTAGTGTCATGTAAGTCTCCTGAAATAATCAGTGTTAAATTCAATGTCCATTTACCTTATTTTTGTGTTTTCTCCAATTCCAATTGGTACTTTCCCCTCTGCTAGCAGAGACGCAATCTCAGATTCTGTTTGGTAATAGTCTGCTCCCATCATTAGAGTATCCTGAAATGGGAGTAAAACCAGTGTTTGAGGTCCATACCGTACAAGAAAATGTACAAGAAAGAAGGGTGCATTTTGCATGAATGAAAATAAATGCATATGTTAAGGTACATGCAAACCTTCAGTTCAACACCACAATCTAAGCGCGATCTTTCACCCACTATGGAGTGATCAACTGAACATTCGCGCAAGAAACACCCATGTGAGATTATGGCATCCTTAATCTGAAAACCAGCAAAAGAAATATATCAGAATCTAGAAAAGAACTGTTAATGCAAAACACTTGCTCTATTTATCCACTTACCTTGCAGTTGTCGATCTTGGTTGGTGGAAGGAACCTAGGAGATGTGTAAAAAGGTGTTTTTGGATCGTAAAATTCAAACTTTGGAGACTGCAATGAAAAATCAATGAGTTGTATTATGCACTGATGTAAAATCACCTAAGTCATTCCATATGATGAGTATAAAGGGGAATTTGCAAACATGCCTCTGCAGTGAGGGCCAAGTTAGCATCATAAAAAGATTTTATTGTTCCAATGTCCTCCCAGTAGTCTCTGAATATGTATGCCTGAAAAGATATCATAAATTAGGTAAAACTACAGCTAAGTTTTCAGTTGCTTAACCAGTGAACTCGTACGCGAATATAATTTCAATAGGAAGATCCAAGATCCTTTACTTGAACATTGTGCTCATTTATAGCTGCTGGTAAAATTTCAGAGCCAAAATCATTAGCTGTAGGATATCTCCATTTCAGAAGCTTCAACAATACATCTGTCTTGAATACATAAACCCCCATTGATGCGATATAAGGGGATCTCTTCGCTTCTTGTGGAGATAATCCAATGAGAGTAGTATCTACTTGCTGCAGCGCGAAAAAAGAAAAAAGAACAGTAATCAGGTCAAGTCTCATGAACAGTATATGAATTGAATTATCTAGGAGAACCAGTCTGAATGTTGAATTAGATAACTTGGCATTACTAAATTGAATTTGCCTTTCTTTTGTTTTCTGAATCTCGCATTCTCATAAAAGGATGGGTTTAGGTTCCAATCAAATGATCATATCCTGTTAAACTTATGCTGGTTGATTTAACACTGACATGTATAAAGAAATCAGCACAGTTCATAAAAGAAAAGAGTTCAACTATCTACCATTGCTTTTAGATCAAAACCTTTTGGTTTCTCAGCAAACTGGACAACTCTGCCTCTACTGTCAATTTTGACCAGCCCGAAATCTGATGCCCGGCTGAAAAATATAAAGCTTAATCTCAGCTTAACGCAATCACAATAAGGTATAAAGAAAAGTTGTGATTACCTAAATAAATGTATACTTTCTCCCTCTTACTTTGGTCACTCAATTCACTGAACGTGAAAGAACCATATATAGCTAGTTGCATATTAGTAACGAAGAAATATCAGTTCAGAAGAATTTATACAGACCTGTCCCCAGCTGGTGCGCATGAAAGTGTAATATCAGAATTCCGGTCAATATGGTTCTGTTTGAAGATCGGAGACAGTCAGAAACTTTTTCTTAAAAAAGAAAACAAAGAACGAGGAGCGCATTGGTAGTTGAAGTGGACATACCTGCACCAAATCCATATAATCCATCCTATAAAGATGATCCCCAGATAAAATAAGGATATTATCAACATCTTTGTTCTTGGCATCCTGCAATAATTGTTGCAATTCTAATCACAAAAGTACTAGTACAAAATACTCCATAACTAATTCAAGAAGCAATAAAGAAAGTTGAACTTCCCCCATAAATTATATCAGGTCAACAGAAGAGTAGTGGTGGATTAGTGTCCTCAAAAGTTTTAGAGACTAACCTCAAAAACCCATATAAATTGTCTAACAGCATCTGCAGTTCCTTGAAACCATTTTTTCCCAGTTTCTCCAGGTGTCTGAGTTGCAGCCAACACCTGCTTTATGAAGGAATTCATTTTCAGTCAGTAAAACAAACCAAGAAAACAGAAAAAACAAAAGAACAAATCATCCGAAATTGTTACATCGCCGCAGATTTTGTTTGAACAAATCAGTTGAAGGAAAAGAAGCTCAATTGTGATATCTAGAAAACCTAAAAAACAAACATGGAACTCTAATACAGGTTCTTTCAGGAATTTCATAAATACAGTCTCCAACCTCAACAAATCCATCTCCAAAGCTCACACCATTGCCAAAATATGTTCGAGCAATATGACGATTCAAGGGAGCAGAATTGTACTGGGTCAGCACAAATATCTTGTTAATACCACTGTTGATACAGTTGCTCATTGGGATATCTATTAGCCTGTAGCATCCTCCAACCGGTACCTGATGTCATGTGGCACAAAATATCAGAATTTTCAAGAGAATGACCGATACAGATAACACCAACTTGCGATCTTGTACAACTATTCTCCATCTATTTCTAATCGATCTGTTTAAGATATAAATCAACAAATAATATAACATGAAAAATCCTAGCACATCCTAAGAACAATAAAAACATGAAATATATACAGATGGTCCAATTTCCCCTTAATAAACTTCAGAACAATAAATTCAACACAAGAGAGAGACAACTAGGAAGAAATATCAGAGATTTTACCAGGACATTAAGTCATCTAAAATATAA